TTGAGTCTTTGGCAGAAGCTTATCATTGGGAGGAAGAAGTTGAAGTTTTGAAAAAGGAAGTGAAGGAAGAAGATTCAAAACTTCATTTGAAGTTGTTACCGTCACATTTGAAATATGTATTCCTTGAAAGTGGTGGAAATAAACCGGTGATCATTAGCAATTCTTTATCTGACAAGGAAGAAATGAAATTGATTCAAGTTTTGAAGAATAATAAAAATTCTATAGGTTGGTTTTTGTCCGGTTTAAAATGAATTAGCCTGGCTTATTGCATGCACAAACTCATGATTGGGGAAGAATTCAAACCGGTAGCTAAACCTTAAAGGCGTTTAAATATGGTAATGAAGGAAGTGGTGCGAAAGGAAGTTATCAAGTTGTTAGATGCATGAATGATTTATCTTATCTCGGATAGTGCTTGGTTTAGTCTGGTGCAAGTAGTTCCAAAGAAAGGAGGAATGACGGTGATAACCAGTGAAGAATATGAGTTGGCTCCAACAAGATCTGTGATCGGGTGGTAAATGTGTCTCGATTACCAAGGCTTAATAAATAAACAAGGAAATATCATTTTCCTCTATCGTTCATGGATAAAATGTTGGAGAGGTTGTCGGGACAACAATTCTATTTCTTCTTGGATGGTTACTTCGGCTACAATCAAATTTCCATTAATATGGAGGATCATGAGAAAATGGATTTCACTTGTCCTTTTGGTGTTTTTTCATATCGATGTATGCCTTTTGTATTATGTAATGCGCCCGCCACATTTCAGTGGTGTATGCAAGCCATTTTCGTCGACTTGATTGAAAAGACAATTAAAGTATTCATGGATGATTTCTCCGTTTTCAGAGCATCTTTTGAATTGTATTTCAACAACTTAGACACGGTACTGAAGCGGTGTGTGAAAACAAATTTGGTTTTGATTTGGGAAAAGTGTAATTTCATGGTTACGAAAGGCATTGTACTTTGGCACAAAATTTCATCAAAAGGGATTGAAGCAGATCAAGACAAAGTGGATGTGATTGAGAAGCTTCCCCCACCAACCAATGTTAAAGGAAAGTGATTGGTAGAGCTAAGCTGTAAAGAGACCTTTATGTCATAGGTTCACATAATAACTTGCCTAAATGTAATGCTCTTACATCTAATTCTTTTGAAACTTGGCATTCTAGGTTATGACATGCCTCTGATTCTTGTATTCATATTTTAGCTAAAAGTTTTCCTCTCATTTCTTGTAAGAATAATACCATGGCTCCTTGTGAATCATGCCACTTTGCTAAACAGAAAACGTTTCCTTTTCCTCTTAGCTCATCTGTTACTCATGCTCCTTTTGATATCTTGCATGCTAACCTTTAGGGTCCCTTTGCTACTGAATCCATACAAGGTCATAAATACTTTCTTACACTTGTAGATGATTTTACACGATTTACTTGGATTATCTTTCTTACAACTAAAACTGAAACAAAATAAAGCATCATTCATTTTATAACTTCTCTAGAAAATCAGTTCACCACCACTCTTAAATGTCTTAGATCTGAAAATGATTCTAAATTATTAGCCTTAAGTTCCTTTCTTTTATCAAAAGGTATCTCTCATCAGAATTCTTGTGTTGAAACACTCCAACAAAATGGGGTGGTTGGGAGAAAGCACCGACATATTCTAAATTTGGCTAGAGCTCTAACCTTCCATTCCAATGTTCCTCTCACATTATGGAATTATAGTATTAAACATGTTGTACATTTAATCAACATAATTCCTAGTCCCTTACTCAATAACAAATGTCCTTATGAAGTGCTTTTCAATTCTTTCCCTGTCCTAATTCATCTAAAAGTGTTTAGTTGCCTTTGTTTTGCACCACACTTCAAGCTCATTGGACAAAATTACAGCCTAGGGCTAGGAAAGCAGTGTTTCTAGGATTGAAAGATGGCACTAAGGGTTACTTTATTTATGACATGTCCTCTCATGAGCTGTTTGTATCTAGAAACATAGTTTTTTATGAGTATGTTTTCCCCTTTAAATCTGACAGTAACCTTGTGACTAATAACACTCAAATGTCTGGAATGCTGGATACTCATGGTGCTCTTGAGACAGATATCCCTTTGCCAGTTGAACAAACTACTACTCTTAATGACAGTTCTGCTCCTGCTACGTCAAGTCACCCTCAATCTCCCATCCATACCCAACCTCAGCTTTATACTCATGACAAAAATGAAAATGACATCTCCAACCCTAGCCCTGTTGTCATTGACTCTGATCCTAATCTTCTCAATGACACTCTTCATCACATGGCTCCTGATGACACTACTGTCCAAAACATCACCCCTATCCAAGCTCAACCCACCAGAAAATCTACTAGGTCTAAGAATCCTCCCACTTACCTCAAGGATTTTCATTGTAATCTCCTTTCTACAACCTCTCAACAACCTTCTCAACATACTTCTAAATAAAATCCCATATCATCTCTCAAATTCTTTATCTTATCAAAATTGTTCTTCCCATTACAGAAAATTCGGTTGTACCATCTCATCCCTCCATGAACCTAAAACATACATACATGCCTCAAAATATGATTGTTGGAGAAAGGCTATGGATGTTGAGATCATTGCTCTTAAGGAAAACCAAACATGGACTCTTGTAGATCTTCTTGCAGGTAAAGTAGTAGTTGGTTGCAAGTGGGTCTATAAAATCAAATATCATGTTGATGGCACTATTGGGAGATACAAGGCTAGGTTGGTGGCTAAGGGCTACACTCAACTTGAGGGTATGGACTATTTTGATATATTTTCTCATGTTGCAAAAATCACAACAGTCATGGTGCTTTTATCCATTGCTGCTATCAGAAATTGGCACTTGGAACAACTTGATGTAAATAATGTGTTTTTACATGGAGACTTGAATGAGGAAGTTTGCATGTCTCTCCCCCTTGGCTATAACACTTCTGATTCTACCAAGGTATGCAAACTGACAAAGTCCATTTATGGTCTAAAGCAAGCCAGTAGGAAATGGCATGCTAAACTTTCCTCTGCACTCATTTCCTTAGTATATCATCAGTCTGCCACTGATCATTCACTTTACACAAAAAACACTGCACATTACTTTACTCCACTTTTTGTGTATGTTGATGACATTGTTTTAACAAGGGATTCACTTGCTGAAATTAACCAAGTCAAAGCTTTTTTGGATCAAAGATTTCGCATTAAGGAGCATGGTCAACTTAGGTACTTTCTAGGTTTGGAAATTTCCAAGTCCCCCTCGGGCATTTTCTTAAATCAAAGAAAGTATGTTTTAGAGTTGCTTGAAGATACAAGTTTTCTTGGTGCCAGACCTATTTCAACCCCTATTGACCCTAGTGTCAAACTTTCTTCTACTGAAGGAGTTCCCTTAGAAGATCCCTCATCTTATAGGAAATTGATAGGAAGACTTTTGTATCTCACAAATACTCGGCCTGATATCTCATATGTTGTTCATCATCTTAGTCAATTTGTTGCCAACCCCTTCTTATCTCACTATCAAGTTGCTACATGTGTCCTCAGATACTTGAAAGTTGTTCCTGTGCCAAGGGTGTTCTTTTCTCAAGTTCTAGTGAGTTAAAGTTACATGGCTTCGTAGATTCTGATTGGGCACGTTGTCCATATTCTAGGAGATCTGTGACTGGGTTTTGTGTGCTTCTAGGCACCTCTCTTCTTTCATGGAGGTCCAAGAAATAGAATATTGTTTTCAGATCATCCACTGAAGCAGAGTACAAGGCTCTGACTTCACTAACATGCAAAATTCAATGGTTATGCTACTTGTTCAAGGATTTTCACATAAATATTTCTGAACCTGCATCAGTTTATTGTGACAGCAAATCTACCATCTACCTAACCCATAACCCTACATTTCACAAACGTAGCAAGCACATTGAATTATATTGTCATGTCATTCGAGAAAAACTGGTTTCGAAGCGTATTCATCTGCTACATGTTCCCTCGAGCTCTCAGCTAGCTGATGTTTTAACCAAACCCTTGCATTCCCTCTTGTTCACTCCTCTCTTGTCCAAGTTAGGTTTGTGCAATATCCATATTCTAACTTGTGGGGAGGTATCAACGTAATAGCCACAATATTCTGATAGTAATACTTTAGTGTATATACCTTTATGTAAATTGTATGCTAATTATATAGTTTACTTTACCTTTTCTGTATATATAAAAAGGTGTAACCAATGTAACAGTAAATCAGTTGAGAATAATGAGAAAGCTCTTTCGATATTTTCTCTTTTCTTGTATCATCAACGGATATCACTCCTTAACATTTTAGTAGAATTTAACCAAACTAAATTTTACATACTTCATACTTTAGACTACTTACTATTGTCATTACTTAGTAGAATAGAGAGTGATATTTGAAGAACTAAACTCAGGGTTTGTTGTTAAGTATTCTTTTTTATAATTTGCTGAAAAGTTTTATCATGAAAACATTAATATGCATATGTTTGTATTAAACTCAATTTGCCATAGGATGGAAGCCCTTGCTGTTATAGTCTTGAAAAAGTTGAGTTCTTCAGTTTACAAAGAGTTTGGAATCATTTGGAATCTCAAAGAGGATATTGAAAAAATGAAGAACACAGTATCTATGATAAAATCAGTACTCCTCCATGCAGAGACCAAGGCCAATAATCATCAAGTTAGTAAGTGGTTGGAGGAGCTGAAAGATGTACTTTACTATGATAAAAATGAAGTTATTGGAAGAGAAGATGAAAAGAAACGTATTAAGCGTTATCAATCAATACCAACACAATCAAATTCTTTTTTTAATTGAAAGTTTACTGAAACAGTTATACCCAAACACAATACTGTGACAAGATAGAACTAGAAGATTACAAATCACTGCACTAGCAGGAAGTAGTACCTCTAAACTTGGCCATACATATAAGGGAAAAAACACATCTTGAGACCACACATAACAGAAAAAACAACTCGGCCACACATGTTACAAAAGGTACATATAAAATAAAACATTGGTACTAGAATGCTTTAGAAATGGATGTTATGTTCTTCTGTAGGATGTTTGCCATAAGATGGTTTTGTCACGTGCAAATGTGACTTCTTGTGCGGTGGCTTATGCCTCGGTGGCTCTTTTTGTGGTGGTTTATGCACCGGTGTCTCTTTTTGGGGTGGCTTATTCACCGGTGGCCCGTTCACTGGTGGTTCATAAGCTGGATTAAGGTGATACTGAGCAAGCCCTTGAGGAACAAGGATAAGAGCAGCAAGGAAGAAAACTAGTGTGGACAAGAAAAAGGAAGACATTTTAAGTAGTGATTTAGTGTGCATAACATATAGAGAATAACAAGGCTTTATAGTAGTAAGGGGCCTCAATGGAAGTGGAAGGTCTCAATCGAAATAATATATTACTACATCTCAATAATCGGTCCACTAACTAAAGAAAATTGTTCAGGAATATTATTCAACAATGTAGCAACATATGATTATATCAAAAGTTGTGGAAGCTAAGTTTATCTACTTTTACGATGAGAACCTCCTTTATTATTGGAGGAAGGTGTGGAAATTGGAGATCATGAGAGGGTTAAGTAATTCAATTATGTGGCTTTTCAAAATTTATTAGGGTATGTAGAATGTGGTCTAGTTTTAAGTAGGGGTGGTAATATTATATATTAATGCATGGCTATCTATAGGAAATATAATATCTAATGTATTGAATAAATTTTATGTTGATTAGATTAATTTGATTAGATTTTTAAAGAGTTTTTGGTTTTTAAAAAAAAATAAACAAACCTAAATTATAGAAAAGAAAGAAAAAAAATGAAAGGGTTAGACTTGACTCCAAAAGAGTTTTTAGTTATTTGCAAATAAATTAATTGATTGATGTAATTACTATTCATATCAATATATTTTCCAATTTCCATTAATCAATTTTACTACTTCTAATTTTGAAAAAGAATGAAAAATGTTTAACTTGTTTTTGGTACTTTTGTAACCTCGTGATGGATATCTTTCTTCTTTTAAACTAGCAAGATGAGACTTGCGCAAATATAGTTATAAATAATAATTAAATATAATATAAAAATAGTTAGTAAATGTTTAAAAAATAAATAATCTATTAAGAAATTATTTAATATTATAATTGTTATATAAATATTAAATTAACTTAACTGTATGTTTGTGTTTGTACGGATCACGCTATGAGAGACGCTCTGAGAGATAAGTAGTAAATAAGTATAGCATAGTCATGGTTAAAAAAAAATATATAACAATTAAGTAGCGTCATTCAGTTGAAAATATATATATTTTGTTAGGGATAATTTGGGACTTCTTTCTCACACTTGAGAGTCAACGACGAAGCATCTTTACTTGAGATACGTCTTTGTGAGAGATACACTACATATCCACATAAAATCTTAAGGTGATAAGTGTATAAGTTCTCTCAGTTATAAAGTGTTATATCTTCTCTTTTTTAATAAATGTGAAACTTCTTTCTCACACTTGATTCTCAATATATTTTAGTAGAATAAATAAATTAAATAATTAAATAGTCATTTACCCGTGTATTTCCATGGATCATACAATATCGTTATAAATAATAAATAAATATAGTATAGTGATGGTTAAGAAACATATATAAACGATATATAAATTAAGTGATCTCGATCCTTCGAAAATATATAGTTTAATAGGAAAAAAAATTAATTAATAAAATAGTCATCTATCTGTATATTTGCACGGATCACGTAATTTCATCATAAATAATAAATAAAGATAATATAATGATAGTTAAAAAAATATTTAAAATTATAGTTGTCATAAATACATAATTACCCAACTAAAACCATTTTAGAGGACTTATTTCATGTCCCTAAATGTGATTACCATTTCATTAACGTAGTTGATTCAATTTACTTTGAATGCTTTAAAAATTTAAATGATTACTTTAACCATAATTATATCAAATACGGCTATGTTCTAATACTTAGGGGAAGGGGAAGTCTAATAAAATTAATATATTTTCAATAAAACTCTCTATATTCCAAAGTAAATAGATATACTTTATTATAACCCTACAAATGCAATTTGATGTTTAAACCTCCCTTTCCTTCAGTTCTTCCTCTTTCCTTTTCTTCTCCCTTTTCTTTTCTTTTTTCTTTTTCTGATTACGTTTCATTTAAACCTCCCTCTCAACTCTCCACACTTCTTCATACATACTTCTCTTCACTCCCTGCTACCGATTCATCCCAAACTCTAATGGATGTTACTTTCTCAAATCTACATATAGAAGAGGGTCTTAAATCTCTCAATGAATTCCTTTACGAAAAAACCTATATTGTATGGTAACACTCAAATCCTATTAATCTCTATTTATTCATTTTTAAACTTTTATGAGAATTTGATTATTTCAATATTTTACGCTTTTTTTTTTTTTTTTTAATTTAGGGATCAATTGACAAAGGAGGATATCAAAGTGTATGGAGCTTTTATCGAGAAGCCAAGTATATGGAGATGTTATTGAAAGATAATTAGATATTAAATAAATTCATTTCTCTTTTGAATGTTTATTTTTTAAACCCTTCATGTTTTATAAATTGTCTTTCTTTTTCTTGGAGAAGAAATAGGTTATAATACTGCCATCTAACCTAAAATCGTTTGGGGTAGTTATTTCAAAAAAATAAAAATTTGATTCTTCTAATATTAGTTATGACATGATTATCACGTCACAACATGTAAAATCACATCACAACGTGTTTTTTGCAACGTGACTAATTATATCATAGAGGAGTGTGTGGCATCTTTATTGTGACGTGGTTTTCATGTTACAAAGTTGTGACGTGAAAATCACGTCGTAACATGTTTGCACAAAAACCATAAGATTGCAGTAGGAGCAGGCGTAGTAGGCATAGCAGTCAGAGCAGCAACATTTCTTGCACGTGATTTTCACGTCACTAATTTATAATGTGGAAATCACATTATTAATTAATTCTATTTTACAAAGAAACATACTAACATGCTTTTCTTTTTTCTTTTTATAAAAAATTTAAGGTTGCGACGTGATTTACTTGTCACAACTTTGTGACATGGAAATCATGTCACTATGTTTTTTTTTAATTTCATTGCTGAAAAAAATTTACATTAATAAATTAAATTATTAAATTAAATTAATAAAATTAATTAATAAAATAAATATACTAAATATATAAATTAATAAATTTAATATAATAAAATTAATAAACTAAAATTATAAATTTAAGATTTCTTAATTTAATATACTAAACAAGTTTAATTAGTATGTTACACAAATTCAAATTTAAAAGCAAAATAAAAATAAAATTAATTCAACGGATCATCTTGGTCGGGATAGTTGTCAATGTCGAAATTATTTTTGTTTTCGTCATCCATCATCTCTTGACCATAATCGTTTGATTTCCACCAAACTCTTGCATAAATTGCCTCATTTGCTACTCCATATCAGTTTGCCTCTTCGACATGACCTCTATTTGTTGTTGTTGCTCTTGCCTCATTGTCTCCATTTGGACCTCTCGCATCTTGCCTCGTTTAACGTCAATTGTCTTATTGTTTCTAGTTGTTCTGGTGTCAAATTTGGTTAATGTGACCCTTCTTCCCCCTCTCTAACTCTTTGAAAAAGAGTTCTATCCTCACTTCTCAAGGTGCCCGCCAAATTTCCACCTCCAAAAAATAACTGTTAGGCCTCTTTCTGCCATTGACTTTACTCTAAATATAAAAATATGCATCTGGATGAACCAACTCTCCCTCTCTCGGAGTATATTGAGGATTATGAGTCAGAAATTCTGCGAGCAATATCTGATAATCCTCTTACATACTCAATAAGAAAAATAAGTTAAATATAAATTAAATTAAATTAAATTAAATAATATATGAAATATAGTCATGTGATTTTCAAGCCACGACTTCTTAATTGTCACGTGATTTTCACGCCATAATTTCTCAGTTGCCACGTGAAAATCATGCCACAAAGTTGTCAAACCCAATAATTTTTAATTAAATCTCTTCTATGAAAATGACGTTCTACTTCCTCTAGATAACTAATTATAGGTCTATAGTCAGATTTAAGACATGGACACTTAACTCCTCATTCGCTTCGACAATAATCCTGAGCAAACACCTACAAAATAAACCCTTTAACTCCTTCCACAAAATTGAGTTTAAGTGTGACTATTTCTGAATACAACCTATTGTACATCCAACTACGATAATACGATAATATTTCATACTACATATTTATACAATCATTATCTTTTAAATTAAAAATAGGCTTAAATGCAGTTTTGACCCCCCTAGTTTAATGTTTTTGGAGTTTAGATCCCCCTAGTTTAAAAGCCAGGTTTCTAGTCCCCAAAGTTTTCAAATTTGGGATTTTTGAAGCCCCCCTCCATCTGGCTGCCCAAAAAGTGACATGGCACAGGGAGAGTAATGCCACGTATTATTTTCTTATTTCTTATTTAGAATAATATTTTTTAAACATTTAAATAAGTGATATTAATTTCCAAATGAATTTTTAATTTCATAATTCATATTTTCTGAAAATCCCAAATTGCTTAACCTAATTTCCTCTTCCATCCGCCCGTACGAGATTTCTTCTGATCATCTTCAACCCTCCTTCTTGATACGACCTCCAACACTCCATCTTCGTCTTCCTTGTGGTACCAGCTTCAACCATCACACTCCTACTACATACTACCTTCACACTCTCTCTTAAAGCTTCGTATAATCATTCTGATATTTAGAGCGATGAGGAAAGATGGAGAAAGATATTCTATGAGGTAAGTTTTGTTGTCTTCTTGAACATGTTTTTATATAGTTCTGTGTGGTCCACCATTGTCTCATATTAGTGGGTTTAGTATTTTCTCTTTTGTGGTCCACCATGAACGAATATTCAATGTTTGGCTTTTAGTGGGTTAGTTTATTAACATTGCATTTTAATATTGTTAATTTCAGTGGGTTAGTTGAAACTGCTGAACATGAACATGAACCTGAACCTACTGAACCCAATATTGTTGTTGCTGAACCTGTTGAACAAGAACCTGAAATTGTACCTGAACCTACTGAACCCAATATTGCTGAACCTACTGAACCTACTGAACCCAATATTGCTGAACCTACTGAACCCAATATTGCTGAACCCAATATTGCTGAACCTACTGAACCCAATATTGCTGAAACTGAAGATGTTGTACCTGAACCTGAAATTTTTGAGCCAAATATTGCTGAACAAGGACCTCAAATAAATGCTGAGAGCCAACCCAATAATGATTTCAGTGAAGATAGTAACAATTGTGAGGATAGTGGAGAGTGTGATGAGATGGACTGGACGTCAGTGCTGCCTCCTGAGACCTTAGGTGATGAACCTAGTGTAGTGAACCTGCAATCACAATCTGAAGATGAAGAGGATGAGGAACATTTATACACACCCCCTGGTACTGATGATGAAGAAGATCAAGAAAGGTTCCCAACATATAAAAGTGGGCAGGGATTACAGTTCAAGATAGGATTGATGTTTTCAAACAAGGAAACAATAAGAGATGCAATTAAAGAGTATGGAATGGAAAACCAAAAAAATGTCTATATCAGGAAGAATGATGCAAAGAGGATTATAGTTAAGTGTATGGATGGCTGCAAGTTTCACCTCAGGTTCAGTTTGAGGAATGGGCAACAGTATTGGCAAATTGTAAGTTATGAGAGTGACCATACTTGTTGCAGAACTGCAGACAACAGGAATGCTAAGACCCAATGGCTTGCTATAAGGTTTACACAACTTCTAAGGCACAACCCATACATGAAACCAGCTGGTTTAGTCGCTGAAGCACTACAGAGATGGGGAATAAAGATATCAAGAGATCAAGCATATAGAGCTAAAAGGAGGGCATTGGACCTTATCCAAGGTGCTGGTTATGACCGGTTCAGGCACTTGAGAAGTTATGGAGAGGAGTTATTGAAGTCCAATCCAAAGAGTACAGTTATTATAAAATGCTCAGAAAACCATGGCAGTCCTGCATTTGAAAGAATATATATTTGTTTAGATGCTTGTAAGTCAGGATTTGCCAAGTATTGTAGACCAATAATTGGTTTGGATGCATGTTTTTTGAAGGGGGATTATGGTGGCCAATTGATGTCTGCTATAGGCAGAGATGCAAACAATCAAATATATCCAATTGCTTATGCAGTGGTTGAGGCTGAGACCAAAGATTCGTGGGAATGGTTCTTGCATATACTACTAGAAGATTTAAGAGCAGTCAATGATAGATGTTATGGCTTTATTTCTGACCAACAGAAGGTAACATTTAATTCTTATCTGTGCTTTTATTTATGACTAATAGAATGTAACATTTAATTATGTGTGCTTTATGTTAGGGTTTGGTTCCTGCTATCCAAGGCTTAAGTTCCAATGTGGAACAGAGACTGTGTGTGAAACACCTTTATGGTAATTGGAAGAAAAAACATGGAGGTGTGGTACTAAAACAAGCCATGTGGGAAGCAGCCAGAGCAACTTCAATTCCAATATGGGAAAGAGCAATGCAGAAATTGAAGCTTTTAGATGGTGGAGCATGGAAGGACTTGAATGACATTCCAGCAATGTTCTGGACAAGATCACATTTCAAGACATATGCCAAATGTGATATTCAAGTGAATAACATGTGTGAGGCCTTTAACAGGGCAATTTTGGAGCATCGAGACAAGCCAATCATAACCTTATTGGAAGGAATCAAACATTATATCACTAAAAGGATAACTAAACAAAAGGGATTATTGCAGGGATATGAAGGAGTAATCTGTCCTAGAATCCAATTGCTAATTGAGAAGCACAAAAGGGAAGCACAAGACTGGACCCCAACTTGGCATGGTGATGATGATCTCTCAATCTTTGGAGTTACCAATGGAACTGAGACATATTGTGTAAATCTGAAGAATGAATCATGCAGCTGCAGAAAATGGGAGTTGTCTGGAATCCCATGTTGTCATGTTATCTCCTGCATTTGGAACATAAGAAAAAAACCAGAAGCATATGTCTCTCCATATTATAGGTTTGTGAGTCACATGTTATGTAACATATTTCTATGTCCTGTTTATGATATGTTCTATTAACTCTTGCATGTGTAACATTATTTCTGTTTTGCAGCAAAGTTACATTTGAGAAATGCTATGCTAATATTGTCATGCCAACCAATGGACCACAATTATGGACTGATGTTGATCATGTGCCTATGTGTCCTCCTGTCATGAGAAGAGCAATTGGACGTCCAAAAAAGATGAGAATTAAAACAGGTGATGAGCCAAAGAACCCCCATGTGCTTTCAAGAAGCTTTTCAACTGTCACTTGCAATAAATGTGGACAAACTGGACACAACAGTAGGACTTGTAAGGGCAAGAGGGCAGCTGATAGGCAGATACCAAAAGGAGGCAATAAGAAGACCAAGCAAACAAAGACAACCAAGAAGGCAAAGAAGACTAAGAAGACTAAGAAGACTAAAGATGCAGAAAAACAGATTGAGATTGGTCAGGGATCTCAAGCACCTCAGCCTAGTCAAGAGTAGAAGTAATTAGGAATGATGTTGCTTTTTTTTGGAATGAAACTTGATGTATTAGTGGAAATCTTTAGTATGGTTATAATGGATATCTTTAGTATGGTTATATTTTGTAATGAATATTTTGTAATGGATATGTTGTAATGGATATGTATCTTGTAATGGATATGTTTTGGTACAATCATGAATTTGGTATACACTCTGCTACAAACTGTCTTGGCTGCTCAAGTATGCAATAAACTGTGTTTAATAATTATGCATTTGGTATCTGCATCTGCGTTTGGAAAAAATTCAGTGTTGCAACAAAATTCTGTGTTGCAACAAAATTCTATGTTTAATAATTCTGCATTTGGTATAATTCTGTGTTGCAACAAAATTCTGCATTTGGTATAATTCTGCATTTGGTATAATTCTGCAACAAAATTCTGTGTTTAATTAGTTATAATTCCGCATCTGCATTTAGGTATAATTTAGGTATAATAATTCTGCATCTGCATTTTGAAAAATTCTGCATTTTTTCTGTATTTAGGTAGACCATTTTTTCTGCATTTGTAATGGCCTACATAATGTTTCATTATTACACTGAGAAGTTATACTTAATGGTCTACATAATGAAACAAATTCAAGTGCAATTGCAATTTATAAACCTCAAACATCATCATTTCATTATAAACCATGAGTAGTTATACACCTCAAACATCATTACGAACTAAACAACATAGAAACTCCAACATTAATAAACCTACACACAACAATACAAATAAACCTCCAATACTAATAAACCTAGATCATTTCAACCAACACAAAGAACCTCCTACAGACAACAATGAACCTCCAATACTAATAAACCTACATCATTTCATTATTATTGTTGCAACAAATGCAACCAACACAAAGATGGTTATGAACCAATTAAACTTCAACTGTTTCTTTAAAAATTTGATCTTCATCCTTGTTTCTTCTTCTTTTACCATTGACTCTTTAACCCTCTGCTTTTCTTCATTCAAGTTGTGGAGTAAGTTCCCAATCACTTCCTTTGCCCTAGGATTCATTTCCTCATCCAACCAAACAAAATTACTGCACTTCTTGAAACCTTGAACCTGCAACAATGGAGGTCACAAAATATTCAGTCTATACTCAATTCTGAGGAGAAAATTTTGTAATTGAAGAATATCATACCTTGTACATCCCACATCCGAAAAAGCGTCGTCCTGGGTTTGAATCGGTCCAAGCCGTCATCAACGGAGCATCGATACCACAGTGGCATTCATGTATAACAGAACGATTCCTGTAGCTCGGATTCGACACGGATTTTTGAGACATGTTGGATGCTTGCAGGAAGGAAGAGAAGGTAGATGGAATAGAAGGTAGATGGAGGTCGTACCAAGAAGGAAGGTTGTAGATGACCAGAAGCAAGGATGGAAGAGGAAATTAGGTTAAGCAATTTGGGATTTTCAGAAAATATGAATTATGAAATTAAAAATTCATTTGGAAATTAATATCACTTATTTAAATGTTTAAAAAATATTATTCTATCATCCCAAATCGAAACCGAAACGAACCTACACTCAACTTCCGCCCCCACTAACCCAAACCCACCGTTCACATAACTCTAAACACCGCGTACCATAAAACAAAAAACAGAAAAAACTAACTACATACAATCACGTAAACAAACACCTCCAAAAACCTTAAACTAGGGGGATCAAAACTGCATTTAAGCCTTAAAAAATATTAATCAACTTAATAGTATTCTTAAACATATACTATTTAATATATACTATTCTTAAACATATCATTTTTGTTTTATCTGTTAAAAATATACTATATATACTATTAAACAAATTGCTTTTATTTTAACTATTTAATATATATTACTCTTAAACATAATGTTTTTGTTTTAACTATTAAACATATATATATATATATATATATATATATATATATATATATATATATATATATATATATATATATATATATATATATATATATATATATATATATATATATATATATATATATATATATATATATATATATATATATATATATATATATATATATATATATATATATATATTCTGTTTAAATTAAAATATATATTAACATTAAAACTATTTTTATTAAATCTATTTATTATTATTTTTTTAATAATATTTACTATTCTATTTATAAAAAATATAAATATTCTGTTTATTAAATCTATTTGTTTTCTGTTTTTTAAAATATATATATAATATATTATGTTTTTAAATAAATATATATTTTATTATAATTTTGTTTTAAAAAATATTTATATTAACATTGAATATGTTTTTTTACTTGATCTATATATTACAAAATAAATTAAAATTTTAATATATATTTATAAAATCAGTTTTAATCAATTAACAAACAAAAAAACTAATTAACAACAAACAACAAACTTGTTATGGACTGGGCCGGGCTGGCCCAAGAGCAACGATAAAGGCCCAATCCAAACGGACTTGCTAGGGGTCACGCCGACCTAAGGACCATAGTTATGCCCGACATACGTCACTGGGCGACATCCCCGTCCTCGTACTATCCAGCTCGACCTCAGCTCGAGCACTCCTTCAACAGCGGACACGATCCACTGCACTCTCAACGGGACCCCGAAAAGACCACGTCCTTGTCCGCCCGCACTTCACGCAGGACATCCAGGAAGGGGACCACGTGCGGGTCCCCACTACGCACGTAGAACCTGGCAGTTCCTCCATTGGGCCAAACCTGCCCGGCCCAATGAAGGAACCTTGGCCCAGCGCTGGGGGCTATAAATACCCTCTATTTCCAGAGGGTCAGGTATTCATTATATCACCTATACTCACACTTTGCCTGCTCGTGCTCTTACTTACTTCAGCATCGGAGTGCCTTGCAGGTACTCCCCCCCCCCCACCTCGTTCAAAACTTCAGCTCGGAGCCAGCCGTGACGGTACAAGTCTGATCAGGTTAGATCAGTGGCGCCGTCTGTGGGAAACTAGCTTCCCCGTCTTACAAAACTCAAAGACCAAAGCTCAAATTCAACTACCGCTGTCATGGCTGATCAAGCTCGCGATGAGCAGAATGTCCGTGTCGTCGACACTAACAACGGAACCGTGGACAAAAACGGATACCTTGATAACGCCGGCAACCCCGGCCACAACACCATTCCTGTGACAACTACCCCCGGAACTTCCACCTACAGGGACGGAGCTACTGCATCATCTTCCTCGGTCCCTCCACCACTCGAAGACGACCCGGTGGCCCTCGCACACTACAGAGCTTCCCGGTTCCAGGAAGTCCCCGTCCCCGTTGGGGCGGATGCCACAACTCAAGCGCTGTTCCCAGCGATTAATCAAACGAACTATCTCATCTTCGCCCAAGGAGAGAGACTGAGGGTGCTTGAAGACGAGCGAAGACCCCCGAGGAGGCATCGGAGACCCCATACTCCCCCTCCTCGAGTGACTGAAGCTCGACACCCATCTCCCCCGCGGAGATATTACAGGGAGACCTCTCGAAGCCAATCTCTCCGGCCAAAAGAGAAACGGCCTCATCTGGAGAGGCCCCCCATCATTCAAGCCGGAGAATCTAGTCGTGACCCGGCGAGACAGGAAAGAAGGCACGCCGGAGATGGGCGTGTGAAATTCAACCACCGAGCATCCCGCTCGAGAGAGACTCAACACGACCTGGACCGTCGTGCCAGACAGTATTACAGGTCCCCATCTCTGTCTCCGGAGAGAAGCGACGAGGACGACCCCCGCGGTCCCCTGTCGCAGGCTATTATGGAAGCACCCATCCCCCCCGGGCATGGAGAAGCCCCCTCACTTGAAGGAGTACGATGGAGTCGCGGACCCGGTCGACCACATAGACGGGTTCGAGGCTATGCTTCATTATCATAATGTCGGGGGGCCCATCAAGTTCCGTCTATTACCCACAACTCTCAGGAAGGCGGCAATGGACTGGTACAAAGGACTCGCCCCGGGCTCAATCACCTCGTGGCGGAACCTGAAGAACCAGTTCATCAGTTCCTTCACAGCTTCTCGGCGGCTCTCGAGGCCATCATCCAAAGACAGGATGAAACCTTGAGGGAATTCATCAATCGCTTCAACCGGGAAGCAATACAGGTCCCCTGTGTGGACCATATGAAGAGATATTTGCTGGAGAGAGGGCTCCTCCCCGGCACAGAATTCAGAAAATCCGTGGGTATCGAGCCACCGCGGACATTCGATGCCCTCCTCAAAAAAGCTTGGGCATACATGGACTACGAGGAGAGGGAAGCGGCCAACAGAGCCCGAGACCCCAGGACTCGTGGTCCTAGCAGCAGCTCGCGCCAAGAAGCCCCTCCTAGATGAACCGGGGAGAAAAGGAAAGAAGACAGACCCCGAGAAGTCCAGGAACAAAGAGGACCTTCGGGGCGGTTCACCGAGTACACTCCGCTCACAGCTTCCCGCGAGCGCATTCTGGCGGAGTGTGCCAGCACTGATTTCAAGGACGGCGGTGTCAAACGTCCCCGACCTGCTCCCGCCAAGCCCGGAGCAGACAAGAACAAATATTGTCAGTACCATAGGAGCCATGGTCATCTGACTGAGGATTGCGTCCACCTCAAGGACGCCATCGAAACCCTTATCAAGGGAGGGAGGCTCGCGCAATACCGGCGGAACGATTCTCCCTGTCGTGACGCCCAAGAAGCTAGAGAGTCGGAGGAGGATGCCCGACCATCTGACGAGTCGGTCCCTATCCAAACCGCCTTCTCCGTGACCAGGCCCGAGGACTTCGACTTCCCCGAGCACCTGCAGGAGCCGCTCAGAACGCACAGCAGGTGGGAATATTTCCCCTCCACCCTAGTCATCAACGGCGGCGGGTTCAACGACTTGACCATCAATTCAGCCAAGAGGAAGCTGGACGAGCTGGTCGACGCGGCTCCCCCGTAAACAGTGACGTTCGAAAGGGTGAAGGGCAGGTCAGAGCCCATCACCTTCTACCTAGAAGAGCTCCCCGGCGGAGCCCCGAACGCAGTCATCCCCTTACTGATAAGGGCAAGAATGGCCAATTTTGATGTACATCGCATCCTGGTCGACGAAGGGAGCTCCGTCGACGTCATGTACAACCAACTGTTCCGAACCCTACAGCTGGACGACTCACATCTCTCGCCGTATGTAGGGTCGGACTTACAAGGTTTCGACGGCTCGACCTCTAAACCTTGGGGATATGTCGAGCTTCTGGTTACGTTCGGCGAAGGGACGGCTACAAGACAAGTCAAAGTACGCTTCCTAGTCATCGACTGCCCGTCTCTGTACAACTGCATCTTGGGGAGACTGACACTGGAAGAGCTGACAGCGGTACCCTCGACCGTCCACCTAAAGATAAAGTTCTACACCAGGAGGGCACGAGTAGCTACTATCCAAGGAGACTTAGCCGCTGCCCGCAGGTGCTTCAACGCCGTTTCTAAGGGACGTGACACTGTCGACATAGGGACCAGACCCGCCAAAAGGACGCGACAAGAGCTCGACAAGCAAGAGTCCCCAAAGGAAGAAGTCCAGAGAGCTCTACCAAAGGTCGACTCAATAGCGCTGGACACTCATTTCGACCAGGACGAACCTCCCAGCGGCGAGCAAGCCCCACTCCGCCCAATACCGGATGGGGATTTCGAGCTCGTCCACCTCGGCACCGACCCGACCAAGGGAGTAAAGATTGGCAAAGATCTTCCCGACCTGGCAAGGAAGCAAATCAAGGTCTGCTTGCGCGAGAATGCTGATCTGTTCGCCTAGAGCGCCGCGGAAATGCCCGGACTCGACCCTGAGGTCGCCTGTCACCACCTCGCCATTGATCCAGCCGCTAGGGCCGTAGTACAACGTAGGCGTAGGCAGTCTCCAGAAAAAACGGAGGCTGTTGAGAAAGCTGTAAAAGACCTCCTAGAGGCAAATTTTATTTCTGAAGCCCGGTATTCCACCTGGCTGTCAAATGTTGTACTCGTTAAAAAGAATAATGGAAAATGGAGGATGTGCGTTGATTATACCGATCTCAATCGGGCTTGCCTGAAAGATGCTTTTCCTTTGCCTAACATAGACATGCTGGTCGACAACTCGGCCGGCTACAAAGCATTGTCGTTCATGGACGCCTACTCGGGCTATAACCAAATCCCGATGGCCCTGGGCGACAAACACTGCACGGCATTCATGACCAGCTCGGGCAACTATTACTACAACATAATGCCCTTCGGACTGAAAAATGTCGGGCAACTTACCAGCGCATGATGAACAAGGTTTTTCACAAACAGATAGGCGACATGCTCGAGGTGTATATGGACGACATGATCGTCAAGT